AGGTCACTCAGGGCGGGGGGGGGGGGGGGGGGGGCAGAGGGGGAGGGGGAGGCCCAGCGAGGCAGAGACGGGCTTTGTGAGGAAGTTTGGAATAACTTTGCTTCTTTAAGGTGGAAAATGTAGGTTTCAAAAATAAAAAAAAATTGTTTTGGAAATGCTCAATTGATTTGCAGGCAGAACATTGCAGTATTATGTGTGAGCAGATAATCTGTTCCCTGGTTCTGCCTTTTTTAAAGAGTTGAAAATGTTCATTCAAGATATAAGTTCAGTTGACATTTAATGCGGACAGAATGTTATAGTTTTGTTAACGAGCAAAAACTGAGACAATCTGCCCTTTGGTCCTGTCTTTTTAAGATATTGAATATGTCCCATCAAGGTATCAGTCCAGTTAACATTTAACTCCTTGATCAAGAAATGTTTTATGTATATACTACTCAGAAGAAAGATTCCAGATCATACCTATGTTCTCATGAACATAACTTCTTTCTTTTTCTGCTCCTGTTTAAGGGGTTTTCAGCTTCGAAACTAAATCTAAGTATCATATGTTGGTAAAACTGGTGTTGGCCACATTTACACATATGTAAGTAACTTTTTTAAAAAAAAGGGAAAGGAAAGAGTTATGAGAGGCTTCCTTTTATAGTGTTTGTTTCCTTTCAAAGAGACTTGTCGGGTTGGGGGAGAGGAAAGCAGAAAATAAAAACAAAGTATAGTGTGAATTTCTTGATTCAAAATTACTTGATCCATAAGGCAGCAGTACAAATGATCAGTGTTAGGATCATTCACCTGCCAGCATCCGTTTGTCGGCTTTTAGAAATTCAGGCTGTTTTCTATTCAGAAGCCTGTGAATTTTCTTTCTTTTCGGCAGATCTGGAGTAGACAAAGATGAAACTCCATAAGCATCATTTTTCTTCTAAAATGTGTTTTTTTGTGGCAATGTAATCACTCTGGGGGGGGAAAAAGATGACAAAACAAAAAGTTACTTTCGGAATTAAAGTGCAAAGTGCTTCCCCCACCCCCACCCCGTTCTAAAATGAAACAAAATCAAACTGGTGGTTTTGGAGAGCTGCATGGAGGAGACTGGCTTGGCGCGGACATGCCCAACTGTGCCAGCCACCTTTGACGCAAACTAGCTCCGAGCCCCGCAAAAGTGCAAGGACCTGTCCTCCTTTTGCCCTCAGGCTGTCACTATAACATTTCTGGTGGATGGCAACTTTGTTTGTGCCTGCCCTATTCTATTGCCTCCCCGTGGGGTCAGCAAGTGAGCCAAGGGCACTGGGTGGACAAAGATAATTTTTTTTCTTTGCCTGCATGCTTGACTCTGCCCTCACCAGATTATGGGGCACAAGTCAAAGGATTTAAGAGTAGCCTTGGTGAGAATCTCCAAGCTTGGTCTCTGAATTTCTTCGAAAAGAGCAAAGTCATATCTGTAAAGGAGATCTGGTGGAAATCCTCATCTGGCTAATAAAAAGCAGGTCTGGTATTACTCTCTTGGCCTTCTGCTTATTGAGAGGGTGCCTAATGGGACTGGGGCAAGAGCAAGGGGGTCTGGTACATTGAAGAAGGCACTAGACTGGAGAGGGGATGGATGAGGAGAAATGGTTAGGAAATTGATGATGGGATGTTAGTGTTCCTTTAAGATCAGGCCACATCAAAGGATTATACATTGTTTTATTACAACCAATCTCTCAAAGAATCTGGAGGAAAGCATCCCCCAGGGTAGGCTTGGGAGTACAAGGTCTGGTATTAAAGCAGCAGTATACAATATAACTATTTATTCTTCCAGCAGAGGTTTTAAAAATGTAACAAACTTGCAGGTGGATGAAGCATCAAATGTCTCCATCACCCCTTCCACCTACTTGTAGCTATTTCTCATAACTCATTATATAGGGCTGTTCACCCACATTGAAAGGTGTTTTTAAAATACCCTAGGATAATAAAGATATTAAGTTTTCCAGTCAGCACTGGGTTTAGGAAATTTTAGGCTCCATGGATCTATCAAGTTTACACAAGACGAAAGGCATCTATGTAAGTTACCCATGAGAGTGCACATAAGCATGCAATTATCTGCAGCAAAATGGGCATCAGTGCATTTTGCATAAATATCAGCTAGATACTTTGAACAGAAATTTAAGGCTCGAAAGGATCTCACCTAATTTAGCCTGCAACTTTGTTTTAATATAAAAACATGTTCCTATATACCACACTGCATTACTTAAAGGGGATTTCTTACTAACCATTATGATGCACCACATTTCATATCTTTTCTAGAAACATCCACATTAAGCCTCATATGACTACCACATCAACAATTATACTAAGCCCGAAATTAGGGGCATTTGTTACTATTTAAGTTGTCCTATGTTCTTCTTTGCTCTTGTTTAAATGAGACTCGACTAAAAAATTGAATCGTATTTCATATGCTCTGGTAACACCTACACCAGCACTGAATGAATGCTTGATAACATACTAAAACCTAGAAAATAATGGTGGGACTTCAAGTTTACATCATAAATGTATTTGTCAACTCCTGATTAACTATGCTAGTAGAAATAATGCTATCCAAAACAAGATAATCCCAAAATAATTTAAATTTGCTTTTGAAATGCATTATGGGAACTTGAGCCACAGATTTACCTTTATAATCCTGTTTTACTTAGGCCAATATTAAAATGAGTTTACATTCCCTGAGCACATTCCAAAGAACAGCAGCAGAAGGAAGGAACTCTGAATCTTGCTGGGTGGCAAAGGAAAGCAATTCAGGATTAAAACACATTAAAACACTGCGAAATCAGTATCAAAGGGCTGAAAATCATTCTGTCTCTAGTTCATTTTTTTTTCCTTTGGTCTCTTGTTCATTTTGATGTCATTTTACCACCAGAAAGGGAACCGGTGAAGTTTTTAATAATGTGGCATGTTTTCGATATGTTATTGCCACTCGATACTGACAGGTTGCAAATGATTACCTTATTGGATCGTCTTGCTTTCTCATTAATCAACGATCTTTTTTAATGATAAGTTATTTCCACCCTTTTAATGGGAGGTATGGCTTTCAAGTATTTTTTTTTTCTCTGAAAGGGAGAAAAGCTCATTGGACTCCAATGGGTCAAAACATTTTCCAACTCCTGCCCCTCCCAAACCTGGCAAGTGTTATTTTTCTTCTTGAAAACAAATGAAGTAAACTTTTCTGTTTCAATTTGTATAATGCTATAAACCTGAACATTAATCTTTAATATACTAATAAAGCACACATGACTTCAATATCCCTGGAAATTTGTCAGGCAAGCCAAGAAAGCAGTTCCTCCAGGGCATTCCAGACCTCTTTATACGAATCATAAACATGCCTCTATTAAGGTTTGAAGTCCAAAGCACCAATGGTTCCTCTGTCCAGAGAAAGCCAAAACTATAACAATATATCCAGTTATTCTCTCTTTCTCTCCACTCTCCCCGATCTCATTGCTTCACTTATCTTTTCAACCCAAATTTTTCCTAGAACTCAAAAAACCATTTGTCACCTTCTTTGGAAATTCCTCATTCTGCTTTATTAGTCATCATGCCATCCCTACAATCAACTGGTGATTGCATAAACAGGAGCCACCGGCGCAGAGGTTTGGCGCCTGCCTTTGGCCCAGGGCGCGATCCTGGAGACCCGGGATCGAATCCCACATCGGGCTCCCGGTGCATGGAGCCTGCTTCTCCCTCTGCCTGTGTCTCTGCCTCTTTCTCTCTCTGTGTGTGACTATCATAAATAAATAATTAAAAAAAATAAAAATAAATAAACAGGAGCCACCAAGCAAAGTGTCGAAGGCAAACAAACAAAAGGAAATGAAGAGAAATGGAGGTGTATACCCCCCAAATGAATGTACAATAACACAATGATATTTTTTTGCTGAATGTTGCCTCTGGCTTATATATAGTTTTTTTTTCCCTCCCCAATAAGAACAGATCATCACACCTTTCTATGCGCTGTGAGCATACAGGAAGGTGATTCTCTAGGAGTTGATTAAAAAAAAAAAAAGCTAAGTGTTATCCCTCAAGGGTGAAAAACTGGCAATAACCGCTGCTAGTCTTTGCAACACCAATCGTACCAGGCTATTGTCTCCTTACTAAACTAGGAGAGCAAATGCTTCTCCCCATGGGGGCAATGGTTTTGTTACAGAATAGTCAAAAGAATCTCTAAGGGAAAGTGATGAGACTTGTAACCCTCTCATCTCCTCAAAGGACAGTTTGATCGTTGCACACCTGCCAGTCACTCCCAGGCCCTGGACCATGCATCCATGTTCATTCCAGTTTTGATTATCTGGATACAAACTATTTGGGGATTTTTATCTCAGGTCAGCTTCTCTATTACCTCCCAACACACACTTTGCTGCCTAGTTACTGCAGACTTGAAGAATGCAATTTACTAGAATTCTAATATAGGCGGTCTCCAATTCACAAAAGAGACATACATATTCCAAGGCTCATTGTTTGTTGAGACTCAAAATAAATTATCCCACAGAAGCCATATTATAAATAAATGGTGGATAGGTTTGTAGGTTCATCTGCACATGTCTATATTAACCTATGCAGTTCTTCAAGGAACAGAGGAACTGCTTTGCCTATACCCAGCCATCACTTAACAACCTCCTTTCTATGGGCAGATATATTTGGAGCTTCCATTTAAGACCCTGGGCAAAATCTCTTTCTAAACCATGGCAATAGGAAGAGTGTCCCCCTAAGCCCAAGTGGCTGGGATAACTGGGAAGCAGGTGGGCTCTGAAGGTAAGGGCAGTGCTGGTACACCTTTGAGGCTGGAGGTGCAATTTTGAAAAATCAGGAGTTAAAAATCATATTTACTGGTTAGATTTCCAAGACCCCCGGGGGTGCACGTGTGAATAATTTTCCAGATGGGTTTAGAGATAGACCTCATTGATATTCTCTCTAAGGTTCAGGTCTACAAGTAGAAAATTAGTAATGACAGAAAGGCAAATTATAGAAAGTGTGAAAACTAGCTAAAGTGACTACAATTTAGGGGGAATTGGATATTCAGTAAATCCAGAAGGTCTGGCCAGCATCAGACATATTGTGGTCAATCCAACCATGAAAATAGCTTTAAACGCTGGCCCAGCTGCCTCTGTGTCAACAAGTGAGAGCAGAGTGGGCAGCACAGCCTTGGACCTGCAAAACAAGGAGCCCTTCAAGGAAGGTTGTTCCTGTAAGTAAACCCGAACAAGCAACATCCAGGGGAGGAGTGAGTCCTCTGTGGGCCCTGCAAGAATCCCAGAGGGGTCCTCACCTTTTCAGCCAGAGAGAGATCAGGAAATGATACGGTCTCCTAAAATTAGGGATACAGATATGGCAAAAGGCACAAAAGGCACGTGAGGGCAAGACCCACACAGTACAACCGATGCACCCGTAGCCCATGAGAAAGGGGTGTCATGAAGCAAGTGAAAAAATAGTAACTTTCTCATTTCACTAAGTATTTAAGTACATGTTTTCCAGTAATTCTAAAAGGAATTAAGTTCTTAACCAGAAATTGTAAGGTACCCTCTTGGGGTTCCCCGGGCCGGGGGTGGGGTGGGGTGGGGTGGGATGGGGGATAAGGCTCAGTTGGTTAAGCTTCTGCATTTTGCTCCTCTGGTCTTGATCTCAAACCCCCACATAGGGCTCCCTGCTTCTCCCTCTCCCTCTGCCCCTCCCCTGCTCCTGTTCTCTCTCTCTCTCAAAATCTTTAAAAAAAGAAATTACAAGGTATCCTCAAAAAGAATGTTACCTTCAATAGGATAGATAGGATAGAATGTCTACCTTTGAAAAACTCTTTAAAAATTCCTATTTCTCCAGAGTTCAGCCCCCATTTCCAAAAGAAGATGGAAATAGACCTGTAGCTACATGACCAATAACCAAGGCAGAATTGCTAGAGAATATATTTTAAGTTCATATGGCAAGCACAGTTATCTTGGTAATGTTATCAATAGCTTTAAAATTAGCAAGCTGATAGTCGTGTTAAAAGCCGAATGTATTGCAATGTATTCATTTCACTATTATAAAAGATATCCTTTTTAATTTCTCATTTCTCACTCAGGACCAAGCAATGTTTTTCAGTGAATGATCCTAACTATCTAAGAGCCTGGCAGCACCTCTTAGACAAAACATACTGCAGGCTTTAATTAAGCATTTTACAAAAGCTATTTTCCAATACTGCCAATAAAACGTCTGGGCTATTTTTACATGTCTTAAAGCATGTCTTAAAGCATTTTTTAAAAAGGTGCTAAAGAAAATGAATTTAATTTTAAACAGGGATTTTTAAGTCCCGATGATTTGATTTTCAGGGCTTCTAAAATCTATCTGCCTGACTGCCAAAAGCAAATTTGCTTTTTAAACAAATGAAGAGTACCTATTTCTACCACCCTTTTGCTTCCACCTGCCTCGCCTTACCCTCCTTTGCCCACTGTGATGGTTTAGATTAGAAAATCAGATTTGGTACAAATGGAAAAATGAAATTAAGAGATTTCTGGTGGTAACTGGCAAATGCCAATGGATTGTTAGGAAAACCAAAGATATCTGACTTCAGTTAAGGACATGACTATTAGTGGGAGTTTAGTGAATGCACCCCCCTCTCTTTCCTTTCCTTTCAGGGTTTCCGTGGGATCCAAATAGCTACACAGGATATTTGTGTTGAGGAGGTAAAGATTAGCACACTCCTCCCCAAAGCAGATTTAAAACATTCAATTCCAGTACAGGTCAAATTCTTTTTTATTCAAGGAGCTATGGCAAACAGTTCAATGCAATGAAAATTACCCATGCTCTGGCAGATGGTTCACAGCTATAACACTCTGAATGAATTACTACCTCCCACCACCATCCCACCACCACCCCACCACCAAAAATGCTACTATTAAATTCAAGAAAACTTGTAATTTTTTCAACCCTTGCCTACATAATAATCTTTCATCAATAGGAAAAAACAGACTGACCATCTGATGAAAGGACAGTGTGATGTGCTGGGTGGAGTACTGGGCTCGAAATCAGATGTACAAGGTTTGATTTTCAGCTCTGTCACTTACCTCTTTGGCCATGGGAAAATTCTTAACAGCAGCTTCAATTCCAGTAACTACTACCCCCCTCCCCACCATGTGAATGTGTTTTGCAAATTACAAGGCAGCATGCAACTGTTAAACATTCCCTTAGTCAACAAGCTGACAGGTTAACAACAGTCGTTCTTTTTTACATCACACACAATATTGTTTTCTCCATGTACTGGTCACTCTCATCTATCCTAACATGAAGATTTTTGTGTCATTCTAAAGAAGCCTGAGTTTGTTCCCCCAAACAGCTGCCTTCCGATGACTGTAGAGGATTCTGGTTCATTTTTGGCAATCTGGGAGAGGAAAGGAAAGCAAGAGATCTTGTTCATGTCTTTATGCACGTGTGATATTCTGCTGTGTTAAAGTCCTAGTCTTTGTCTAAAGATGTTTGCTAGTGCCTGAAATTTTCACCCTGGAAGCATCACTCTTAGAATGAATGTAAACTCATAGTCCCTGCCAACGACTTCAGTTAACTTTAATTGAGCAAAGTCCCCTTTAATTGTTATAGGTCACATACCTCTACTCCAAATGACTGTCCCGTTTTTTTTCCAGGGGGTGGGGGTAAATGTCGCCTAAAATAAGTGACCCATCAATGGTGACTGAAAAATCTCTGCTGTATGGAGATTTTATTCTAGTAATTTATAGTAAATAAGTCCAATGCCACAAAAGCAATTAGTTCTCAGCACCTATAATTTATAGCAAGATGATTAGGCAGTAAAACACTGAAAAGAAAAGATGCTTACACCTCCTTCATGTTAATAACAGTGTCAAACATTTCAAAGGTAGTTACTAGGGATTTATTTACTCATTTAATTAATTTATTTTTGCTTTCTAATACCAAATGCTATCTTAACATGACTAATTTGCCTGATCGATTCTCTCACCCCTTCTAGAGTTGCTCTTACCCTTCTATCTCTGGAGTGGAAAAATCTGAATTCTTCAAACTACAAATTCTGTCTCAGGTACAGCAGTAAAAGAGACAACAATGCATACATGAGTCAAGAGTCAGAAGCAAATAAGAAAGGAGATTCTCCTAAAGGCAACTGCTTACAACCCATGCTGTTAAAATGTGAGGACTCTGCCCTTTGAAGATTATGTAATTTATTTAAGAAGTCAAGGCTAGGTTACATTTCTGGGTATTTCTAATGGTCTTGAACAAATGGCTTCAAAGTACTTACTCATGTGCAATATAATTGTAGGCAAATGAAAATGTGCTTTAATTTTGTGTTACATGAATAAAGCTATCTTGTCCCACTTCCTGTGACTTGTGATGAACAGATCCCAACTGTAGAGACCTCAACCCTGAACAACCACGTAAACCATTTTAAATGAAAGTAAACACTAACAGGAAAAGCGGGATTTAAAGACATAGAATTTTGTGCCTCTACAAGTAATAAAAACAGTAACAGTGACAACGATGATGTTTATCTAATAATTCATGTACCACACTTACTAGGTACCAGGCACTGTTCTAAGCGCTTGCCATCAAGTAAAACTACCCTTTGAGATACATAGCTCCCAATAAAGACTATGTCTTTGTTTCTTTGTGAAAAGTTTTTTCTCCTCTAACATGATATATATATGTATATATATGAGATAAATATATACATTCATATTTAATATGGGTATGAATGTGAAGAGAGACCAGAAATGTGTTAAAATTATTCTATACCTTTAGAGTAAAATAACAAGAAACAAAAATCCCAAACCTATCAGAATTATCTGACCCATTCTCGGAACTTCACAGACAACACTCTACCACATGAGTTTCCATTAAAATGGAAACCAAAGTCATTTCCTGCAATATGTTCTTTCTATATATCTTTCCTTTTATACTGATCTCCACAAATGATGTGCCTGAGTCACCATCAGGACCAATCACTTTTGCAGGAACCTAAATCACCAGTTTAAACTGTGGAAACTTTGATCCAGTGTTAATCTAATCACAAAATAAAAATATATTTGTAAAGTGCCCTCAAGTCCCAATGCTTCCATGCCCATTCTCTTATTTTAACCCAAGCACCTTCCTGTAAGACACAGCCTCCTTGCTCTAGTTACTCAACAAAGTCAGGAATTTCCTCAATGAGCAACAGATTTAGAAAACACAAAATCTCTAAAATAGCTACAAAGGCATTTGAAGTTATCTCTAAGTCAGTGACCTAGGCTAAAATAATACTTGGATCTAGATAATCCTTGGGAAATCAGGGTTGGTTGCAGGAACAAGGTTCCGCTAATTGCAATCTCTGTTTAAACAAAGGGTATGGAGAAGTATAGGCAGATGTCTCTGAAAACTTGTCCTTTCCAGAGAACCACAGGGAAATAGGCAGCTCTGGCACACTTCCATCAGTATCACAAACTGTAGCTTCAGCCATTGGGTTCAAGCAATGGCTTGGGACCAATTTTCAGATGCCTTTTACAGAATAAAACAGATATGTCCCTGAAAAGGTGATTGTGAATTAAATTCTTGAAACCAGAATGACACATTTTGAGTGCATGGCTCTGGCAGTAGTGGTGATCTCATTTGTGTGTGTGTGTGTGTGTGTGTGTGTGTGCGTGTGTGTGTGTGTGTGTGTGTGTGTGTTAGGGAGGTCAAAATTTAAAGGAGATCTGAACTGAATCCTCTGGCAAGCCAAAGTAGCCCTGTGTCTTCTTAATGATCCCTCTCTAATGCGTCCTTGCGGCAAATGTGTGTTTTTGTATGGCAAGTTTTCTAAAGCAGGGGGAGTGGGGGAGGGTGGCTACACCTGCACTAAACAGGGAGCTTGTTAGGTGACTGTTGTGATCAGTCCCCGACTTGTTCTGCCTGATCAAGCACAGTGGGCAGAGATCCAATCACAAAGGCATTCCACAAAGCAAGTAAAGCAAAAATCTCCACTAAACTGACCTACTGGAATGAAAACTGCTGGGGTCCATCCCTTCCCTTCAGTGGGAAAGCAGCTCATTCTACTGACAAGGGAAGGCACAGACTACGGAGACATCAGCTTCAGAAATCATTTCTTGAGAATGTGTGCAGATGCGCTGATATCAACATTGCATAATGTACACAGTTAGATTTACTCAAAAATTGTCCTTTCAAGTGTGACAGCTCCTACTCTTCCTTAGTGCTTCCTTTGGACAAGTAACCCTTTAAAAAAGAACCTTCCCCTGTTCCAGGGTAGGCTGCCCCTGGGGTCACGTCTTCCTCTAGCCTTATTATCTTGCTTTACTGGATTTCCCAGAAGACACACCAATTAGAAGTTTTCATTGCTTTTTAAACCTTTCAAGCAATAGTCATACCCATTATCAAGTTGTCACCATTCCCTTTTTTGGGGGGGGGCGAGATACGTGAAGAAAATGAGGCACAGTGAAGGTGACTTGCCTGTCACTACTAGTGACAGGGAACGGACACTCAAGGTTTCTGGCAATGTATCCTGTGTAAAAACAAAACAAACCAACAGGACAACACATTCCAGAGCCAAACACTGTCTCTTTTAATCACCTGTTGTTTCAGATTATTGACGTTCTGTGCCCTCCAGACTTTCAGGCTAACAACAGAGATTGAATCTTCTGGGGGAAATCAGGGCAAACTAGCATCACCATGACTAGTTTTTAAAAAGCAACAATGACTGCTTTTTTAAAAAGTAACTTGCTGAGAGGAAAGTCTACCTCCCCCAGAAGCTACAGTCGATTATCACTGCTTAATATTCTGAGCTCTTACCAAAATTCTTGTAATCAAATATGGGCATTGCTAGCAAAGTGGCTTTTACCTGTTGATTCGAAAAGGAGTTGATGGGATCCAATTTAGGGTGTCTTGTTTGCATAAGTCATTAAGTGTTAGAGAAGGAGGTCTGAAAGCATCCCATGCGCTCTCTCTCTCTCTCTCTCTCTCCTAAAAAGCCTCACCGTTGTTTAAATGATAGTCATGGCTTCCCACACACCCCCCCCCCCGCCCTGCTCCCAGAAAAACTGATGATTGGATCAAAACTTAAATTCCTGCAAAGATCACAAGGTATAACGTGAAAACTGAAAATGTGCTTTTCGTGCTAAACAGGCACCGGTTAATGAAATGTTAACTCACTTCTTCCTAATGCCCTAGCCTTCGGCTCCTTAAGCAATGACCATTAACGCGGGGAAGTGAATTCTCAGACCACCCACCTCTGCGGGGAGAGTGAGACTTCTTGTTGTCAGGTCTGGCAAAGTCCATTCTCACGTAGGTATCGTCGTCGTCGTGGTCGTCGTCAGAAACCTGTTGCTCAGGGGGACTCGGCACCGGGCGGCGAGGCGGCGGTGGTGGCGGCGGCGGTGGTGGCGGCGGCGGCGGGGGGACGGCCGCTGTGGCCCAGTTCTCACCTCCAGCCAAGTCCGCAGATGGGTGCCGGGCTCTCGGGTTCGAGCCAGCGGCCACGGCTTGGGCCCCCCGCACCGCGGCGGCGGCGGCAGCGGCCGAGCCTGCAACAGGTTGGAACCAGCGGACGAAGGTGGAGTCAAACCCAGCAGCGGCCTCCAAGCCCCTGGCGCCTGCACCGATGCCCGGGGCCGCGGCGAGGGCGGAGGCGGCGGCTAACGCCCGGCCCAAAGCTAAGGCCGGCGCGGCGGCGGAGGCGGCGGCGGCGGCGGCGGCCGAGGCAAGGGAGGCGGGGAGGTCTCTCTCGAGACTGTCGGTGGGGAAAGCCGAGACCGCAGCCCTGGCGGACGGAAAGAAACTCTGCGAACGGTCTTGCGGGCGCCTCCGCTCCAGCTGTTGTTCTTCCTGCAGCAGCCTGGCTACAGGTGGCGGTTCGGAGCAGCGACTGGGGGAGAGAGAAATGTCCATACAGCACTCGGAAAAGGGGTCAACCACATAGATTCGACCTGTTTCCGCGTCATAGCGGATGGCGCTGTCACCGAAAGGCACGGCCGGTGTCATTGCTGGGTTGAAAATCACTTCGATGTAGTCACCCTCTTCCTCACTGGCACTGCCACCTGTGGCGCTGGGAGGAAGAGGCACGAGTGGCCACCTAGCACCTTCCAGGAAAAGGGGGTTGGCACCTGGAATAGCTCTGAAAAGATGCGAAAAGTTTTGTGCCGGGTGTGGAAATAGCACTTCGAACTCAACGTTCACATAGTGAGAAAAGGCTGACGGTCTGGGGCCAGCGATGATGCCCCATGAACCGGGCAGTCCTTGAATAAAGGGGGCTGGCATATTGCTCCCGCTTTTAGTGAAGTCAATGTTGACGTAGACACTAGAGCTGTCAGCTTCTCTCTGCGCACGTGTGGGCTTCTGTGATTTGGGCTTGATTTTATTTCCTTTTGTAATAAAAGAGAAACGGTTGGGTCTTTTGGCCTTGTTCTTGGGGGACCCATTATCTGAAGGCTTCCAGCGTGTCCCCCCATCCCTAGGCTTTGAGAATGACCCCTCGACTGGAGGCTTTGAAACTGCATGCTTGGGGCCCCAGTTAGACGAGGCTGCCTTGTCCAGGCCATTTCCCAAGAATTTTCCAGGTAACATTGGTACATACTCACTGTGGTCACTCTGTCCCAATGGGGAGCCATGAAAAGGATTTGGCAGAGAGAAGTAGGAGCTCCAGCTTTTAGAGGAAGAGCCGCCCTGAGGATTTCTGGGGTTTTTTGGAATTGCACCGGCTCCAGGAGCCATAAACATATAGTCACTCTCACTGTCATTGTCCTTTGACTCATCCTCCTTCTCAGGATCTGGCTCTTTCTGGGGACTTGGGGCTGGTGGTGGGCTCACCCTAGGAAACATCATCATGTACCCCCTTGAATCTTCGAAAGGTGATCGAGAGTGGCGTTTTGAAGCAGAGAAGTTTTGGGGAGCCATCGGCATATAATCGCTGGAGCTTGCAAGAGGGGCAGCCACCCCTGGCCTCATTGGCACATAGGGGTCATCCTCATCTTCATCAAAAGCCCTGGCTCTGAGGGGGCCCCGAGCTGCACCTTCTGGGCTGTCTGCCTTGTCCTTGACCTCTTTGGCCTCCTTTCGATCTTTCTGGGCTCCTCTGTCGGCACAAAAATAAAGTCGGAACCTTCCCCCAGACTTCCCTTTACCACCAGTTGCTCCTGCTGGTGGGGGTGGGGGTGGAGGAGGTGGCATCTGCTGCTGCTTGCTTTGAGTTAGTTTGCCAAAGTAGGATCTTTTCTTCAGAGATTTTCCAGGGTCACCACTGCCATCGGAAGTCTTCCCACCTCCTGAGCCTTTGCCCCCTCCAGAGTTCTTGCCACGGCGGGAGCCGTGGCCATCACCCCGTCCCTGCCCATCGCCTGAGCCGTGTCCACCTCCGGCTCCCTGGCCGCCGCCAGAGCCGTGTCCACCCGCAGTACTCTGGCCAGCTCCTGAACGTTGGTTTCCTCCCGTACCCTGGCCCCCTGAGCCCTGGCCACCGCTAGAGTCCTGGCCACCTCCAGAGCCCTGCCCCCCACCTGAGCACTGGTTTCCCCCTGAACTCTGGTTACTGGAGCCTTGGCCACTTGCGCCCTGGCCACCTCCGGAGCCCCGGCCATTTCCCGAGCCCCAATTGTTCATGGGCATGTAGTCACCTCCGTTTCCTTCCTGTCCCTCTTGGCCCTGAGGACTGCCTTCATCCCCAGAGTTGCCAGAGCCAGAAGCTTCAGGAGACAGGCAAGCTCTGTCGTTCAGGACTTCAGCGGGATGCGGGACACGCACCGGGCTGGGCGGGAGGCGGCGGAAAAGGCTGGCTGGAACCGAAATCGGTCTCCTGGAGCGGCGCGCTCTGGGCAGGTGCAGTCTTCCTCGCCTGGAGGGGGGCACAGGTTCGCTGGGTGTCATGTAGCGCCTGGCAAGGAGCATCTCGTCTTCCCCGTCCCCGATGGCCCTGAGGTGGCAAAACTGCTCAAAGCGGGACCTTCTCAGCCAGCCACCGGGCTCACGCGGCAGCGTGTCCAGGTGCCTCCTAGTGGACAGCAGGGTTAACAGGTGGGCGCCGATGCTGATGCTGTAGCTGCGGCAGCGGGCTCTGTATTCGTCCGCGCACAGGGCTCTCATCTTCTCCAAAAACAACTCGTGCATGTTTTGGGCCACCACACAGTCATCGACCTGCATCCAGAGCTCCCCGGGACCAATGACGGTGGATCTACCGACCTCCAAGAAGAAATACTGCTCTGAGTGCCCGCAGCGACGGATGCTCAGGAGCTGGACGACCACGCTGGCCACCTCGGTATTCAGCCTCACGAACACCACCTCCTCGTCGGTAAGACAAAGCCGGAACACGCCGCTCAGCTCTTTTCGGTGCCCCAGCCCCCTGGGCTTGACTATTACCTGCCACACATCTTTGTAGAAGGGTGGCTCCGCCGCCGCTGCAGCCGCCAGCGCGGCCGGCTCTCCATCCGGCTGCGCGCCGGGCGTGCCGCAGCGGCGGCGCTTGCTCTCGAGGATGAGGCGGCTGAGCAGCAAGTACCAGCTCTCCTGCTCCGACTCGTTCTCGGCCACCATGGCGAAGTACTCGTCCTGGGTGAAGAGGGCGATGAGGTGGCGGTACCTGGCATCGGCTCGCTGGCTCACGGAGAAGCACTGGTACAGGGTGATCACGCGTCGCGGCGGGATGAGCGCGGGGACCGCGGCGCCAGAGGCGGCCGCCGCAGCCGCAGCCGCCGCGGCGCGGACACTGTGCCGGAACTTCCTGGCATTTTCGTAGTATTCCAGCCGAGCCGGGGCGTCGGCGGTCTCGAGTTTGAGCACGAAGTAGCGCCTGTGCCCATGCTTCTGCTTCCGCAGGTAGCCGCGTTTGCAGACTTCGTCCCCGACGGGGAGGTCCTCCTCGTCGGACTCCGAGTCTGACCGGGAGCCAGTGGCCGTGGAGAGCCACATGGCTCCCGGACAAGACGACCCGGTCCCAATGAGTGCGGTCGAGGTGCCCGAGGGAAGAAGTGGGGTGGTCGCCAGCACAGCTAGAGCTGCCGCTGTTGCCGCCGCTGCAGCGCTCAGCCTCCTGGTCGCTTGGTCGCGAGCGCAGGAGCAACTCGCCATGGTGATGCACGATGGTTTTAAGGTGAGCGAGCAGGGGGGGGGGGACCTCGGGGAAGGAAGGGTTGGGGGAAGAGGCCGTCTACCCTTGTCCGCCCGCCCCAGCCCCTCCCGCCTCGGCCCCGCCCCCGCCCACTCCACTCAAAGCGCGCGGCTGCGGGCAAAACAACACGTGACCGCTGCCTCACGCGGCGGCCGTTGTGGCTCCAGCTACCGGAGCTGTGGAGGGGCGCGAGCGGCCGCCAGCCAAAGGTGTGCAGGAGAGGGGGCGGCGGGTCCGCCTCCTCCCTGCTGCGATCCCCCGCCCGGCCTAGGCGCTCGGTGAACCTCCAGGCCTGTGGGCCTCAGGAGGACCGACACGAGGAGGCGGGGCGCTCTGGCCACGCTGGTCCTAACCCGGAGTCCACGGAGGCACGAGGGGGAGGGAGGAGGCGGGGAGGGGCAGAGGAGAGAGCTGCCTGCGGTCGGGGCCGGACGGGGGCGCCACGTCTGGGGCTCTATTGGCTGGAGGGGTCGAGGGGTGGTGGCGAGGGCGGAGCGCGGCCAGGGTGGAAGAGCTGGCCCAGCCATGGGACAGTTTGTTTATTTAGGAAGCGGGAGCCAGGTGAAACTGTTGCGAGGTTCTCATTGGACGGGATGGGAGCCAATGGGAGTGTCCGGCAACGGAGTCAGCCGTGAATTAATTAGTGCGGGGGGCAGGAGGGGTACAGAGGGGCGAGGGGGCGGGGCTTGGGTCCCGGAGTGGGCTCCGCTGTGTGGTTGTCGCGCACACGGGCGGTAAACCACCCCTGCAAGGAGCTGTTAATGGTAGTGCTAAAACTCGTGCGGGTCCCTGAGCCGCGGTGACCTGGGGACGGCGCCGGGCGCCCTTTTTTTTTTTTTTTTTTTTAATATCCTCCCTCCCTGTCCCGCACAGAAATTCTCTATTCCTGTCACAGGCGGGTCCCCTTGCTCCCGCCGCGCGCCTCGAGCTGAACGTCTAGGGAGAAAGTGTGGGCACCCCCTCCCCCTGGAATCGTGTTAACGACGGAGGCCCTCAGACCTGCCTCCCACCATGCTGCATGCACTCCCGAGCCCGCTTCAGCCCTGACAAAAGCCCGCGACTCTCAGGCACCCGCACGACAGCCGTGCCTTTAAAATGAACACGATCTTTAATCAGAGCCCATTTCTAAGTCCCCCACCAAACGCAGGGTGGCTAGAGATGCATTTTCTGGCTCTTTGCTGAGTGATGTCTACGAAAAGCACGAATTTGGGGGCTTGAAAAGTACACAGCCATGTTGAGAAAACTCGGACTCGGTTCTTACTGAATTACGCCAGAGATGGGCTGTCGTGGTATTTTCACGTGAGGGATTCCCTTTAAGGGAATTTCAAAATAATATTGTTTCCCTTTCCTTGAGCGAGACCGCAAAACTTTAGAGAGAGAAAAGCTTGTACCTAGAACAAAGGATCACACCGAATACATAGCCTAGAATATAGTTCACATCCCTCGCGGCAAGAGAAGATTTTTGCTGAATTTCAGTCTACAGTTTGACATCACAAAAATAAGAACTACTGCCTCCCTTGTTTCTGGAAAAACTGCTGGAGTGTAAGTGCAACCTCTTTAAGTCTCTTCCTTCTCTCTCTCTCCCCTTCCCCCCCCCCCCCCCCCCCGTCTCAGACTTTGTCTCTCTCTCTCTGTCTTTTACTAGGATTTCAGCTTGCTAAGTGTGGAAATGGGTCGGTATTACATTAAAATGTCAAAGGAGTGACCACAATTGGGAAGACGGATTTGGGGGCAAATATAGGGGGAGACATATGATATTTCTCTCTTAAAGAACGGAATGTTGGCTCACCTTTCCCCGACGGTGGATGCTGCAAAAGGCATTATTTATAAAACCTAATAGTAAAGGAGACAATACATACATCATAATAATAAACCCTATCCCTGCCCTTTTAATAATTTGTTCTCTCTTACAAGCAGAGTAAATATATGTGGATGAAGGGCTCCGTTTTGATGCTCCCACTTTGGGAGAAAAAAAATTGGTTTTGATTGTCTCCAAAATATTAGAAACATGAACATTCCCCTCTGCTGCCACTGGCTTATAAGCACAGCATATTCACAGGTGCTCGGAACAGCGGTGGTTTCTGAAAGGGGCTCTCAGAGACAGAGAGTGTGGACGCTCAAAGAACCCTAACTGGAGCTGCTCCCTGCATGTTTCAGCTGCCTGGTCACATATGTAGATTTCCTGCACTTAAAATCAAAATGATAATGAATTAAATAATTTGAATATTTATACTAATAATTTTAGTATAATTTATGATGAGTATTATGATGATGTTTCATAAGACTTTGCAAGCATAGGGTTTTACTTTAGATAGAAATGTGGAAACAAGGCAATGCATTTGAAAGTGCTGTGAGTAAAAACATGACATTTTACAATGTACTGAAAGACGTTAAATGGCATCCTGAGTAAAATTTGAAAAATACATAAAATGACTGATTTTTAGATCCTCATGTTCTTACAGAGTTTTATCATAGAGTAGTAGGCTTACACTGTATATCATTTCGTATCTTGTTCTTTTCACTTGATGTTGCAAAGTAACATTTTCCTGTATTATTATGGATCTGCCTAAACATCATGTATAAATGCTGCAATCTATTCTAGGCAGCTGTATATTAATGTACTTAATAATCCTTTTGCTATGAGCCATTTAAGTTGCTTTATTTTGTAATATTATATATAATGCTACAACAAACATCTTATTCCTATAGCTTTTTTTTAATGGTTAAAATTAGTCCCTTGGGGTGGAAACCAAGGAGTAGAATTACTGGGTGAAAGATATGAATGTGCGATGCTTTATTTTTCAAAAATATTATATCAGTTTACCATGTCACCATACTGATTGGCAGAATTGGACATTCTTATTTTTTAAAAAATCACAGATAAGATGGGTGAACTGGTATTTGACTGGTCTTTTAATTTGCATTTTTGTTTACTGGCGAGATAAAAAAAAACTTTTATATATATTTGCTGACAATAGATTATTTTCTGTAAAGTGTCTTTTGTGCCCTTGGCTTTATCTCTTGGATTCTTAGCATTTTTCCCTTATCTTGTGCCACTTGTGTACATAATAAAGATATTAAAATTTTGTCATATTTGTTGCAAGTTTTTTCCCCAGTCTATTGATGAAAAACATTGCCTTTAACTCGAGTCTATCCTGTTTTGAGAGGTGTGTAAATTTGGTACAGTGAAGTTTGTAGTGCAGCACGGGAGAGAGCGATTGACACACAAATATCACCATGATCATTTGTTCTTCTGAAAGATCTCATATATCTAAGCTTATATGGTTTTTTAAAGAGACAACTAAGTTTGTTCTCTTATCAATAGACTATAAGAGAGTGTCTAAACTTGTTAAATTTTATGTGGTCCTTGTAAACAATACTTTGCCAAGCATTTTCTCTACTCTGGGGGAAATCACTAGGACTAATAATAAACACGTTAAAAAAGAAGTATGGAACAAAAAAAAAACTTTAACAATTACAGTGAAAGGTTACCAATGCTGATGATTTGTATCCAAAGTATATTACTTGGCTGCATCAAAATGGAGTTACAGATATAATGAGATGTGTGGGGAGGGATTTTTACTTTGTTTTCTACAATGGGAGAAGGTTGGAGCAAATATTAGTACTTGTAAACAGGGAGAATGTGTGGCTAGAACATTATTTTCTTTACATAGCTCGACCAGATCTCCTCAGTTCTAAAAGTTGTTGCAACACTGAAGCTCTCTGGGAGAGACCATCATTACTGAATTGCACCAGATGCTGCTGCTTGTCTGACATATATTTAAACTTTCATCTTCCTGGACAACTTAATGATATAGGATAGTTGTTTAGTTTAGGTCAGGTTTCCATAGGCAAAATAAAGCAGAGGGGTGGTACAGACATCTAGATGGTTCAGGAAAAAAATAGAGACTTTGTATTTGGCTTGAACTCACCAGATGGTTGCTTTAATGCTCTACTCTCTTTTTGGTTATAGATTCCTGTCTCTTTTTTGTTGTTGCTGTTGTTTTTGTTTTTATGTTCATGACATGTTACCCCAGAAAGAAATTGTTTTTCATATCCAGGTATAATTTCTGTAAAGACTGGATTCTGAACCAAGAGTCTTAAACACAGATTTTTAATACAACAGAGTAAGATGTAATAAAGCAGCTAATATTTCTTGTTTTCCAGTTTAGCTGAGGGAGGGAGAAATGCAAGCATTTTGGCTGGCATTTTACACCTAGGTACTAAGGTAAATGGGGAAACACAGACAAGATACCTTTAAAACACTTTCTATCTAATGAAGAAATATGCCTTTAATGGGGTTTGCCTTAAGAAGAAATTTCCTGTGAATCCTGTTTTCAGAAAGCAGTTGAGTGAATTGAGTAGTCACTACAATAAAAACTCATCAGCCTTTTCCCTCACATACATGATCATCAGTATTCTAAACTCCACTTATGCTAAAATCAAAATGGATAATAGAAATGTGGGTTTACTTAGCTTAAAAATTAAACTGTTGCCTCAAATATGGGCATTGTTCAAGAGGAGAAAGCCTAAGAGGAAAAAGTAACCAGTAGAAAAGCACTGTTATTCTTGCCCAATATATAAATTTTCTCTAAGTATTAACTCCATAGTCTTTGTGAGCTAATGTCCAATTATGTTGATAAAAATATAGGGCTGCCCTTGTTATTAAAAACGGGTGCTAGGGATGATTGCTTTCTCTGTGTTTGGACATAAATGAAACCATGCACAATGAATGATCCTTTCTACACTATGCAGGGGTAAGGGCTGCCCCCTGATTTGTGGCTGCGGCCACCACTTGCAGATGATGGCTTTAGTCCTCAGCTTCGTTACTTCTGTGCTACTCAGAACCTCTGCTGGAGCAAACAACCATCAAATGCCTGACTGCTGCACACAGAACAGGTCTGTTTGCTGCTTTTGTTTCCTCGCACTCTGCAGCTAAAGTAATTAGAGCAAATGCATG